GTTGTGGCGTGCTGAGTTGTGGCGTGCTGAGTTGTGGCGTGCTGAGTTGTGGCGTGCTGAGTTGTGGCGTGCTGAGTTGTGGCGTGCTGAGTTGTGGCGTGCTCAGTTGTGGCGTGCTCAGTTGTGGCGTGCTAAGTTGTGGCGTGCTAAGTTGTGGCGCGCTGTGTTGTGGTGTGCTGTGTTGTGGTGTTGGTGTTGGGTGTGCTGTGGTATGCTGTGTTGTGGTGTGCTGTGTTGTGTGTGCTGTGGTGGTTTGGTGTGCTGTGTTGTGGTGTTGGTGTTGGGTGTGCTGTGGTATGCTGTGTTGTGGTGTGCTGTGTTGTGTGTGCTGTGTTGTGTGTGCTGTGTTGTGTGTGCTGTGTTGTGTGTGCTGTGTTGTGTGTGCTGTGTTGTGTGTGGTGTGCTGTGTTGTGGTGTGCTGTGTTGTTGTGTGTGGTGTGGCTCGGTGTGGTGTGCTGTGTGTTGGGATTGTGTGTGCGTGTTGGTGTTGTGTGTGTGTGTGTGTTTTGTTGTTTTTGAAAAGCCGTTTATTTATATTCCTCACTAAGTACTTTGTCGTAGTGATGTCTACGTTTTAAATTTGGCTGTCTGTCACTTATGAAATCGAGACGATGCTTATGCACTCAGACATTTAATTAGTGAATCAAGTGGGCTGAGGGCTCTAATCGCAGGCGGCTGTAGCTCAAACTGTGTCTGCTCAGCTACAAACAAATACTGACGACGTAGTAGACAGTATCATGAAGGTGTTTGATGCGAAAGCGTATAAGGGCGCTGAACTTCAGCTGGTAGTAGTTGGCGGCAGTGGGAAAGTAGTTAGCGGCACGAGTAGTGGGCGACCAATAGAGCTAGAGCGGATATATTTTTCTTTTGAATTCGGCAGGCCATCATTTGATCTCGATCAGTCGAAGACGACGTCAGAAGTTGCATTGAAGCAGCACTTCAAGAGTTATCTGCAGATGGTGCAACGGCTGGACCTGTACCCAACACAAGACTGGCGCGTATGCTTACACGTTTGAAAAACACGCACACGCAACATTTTCTGTTTTTGAGAGAGATGTTATATTTACAGGTTAGATTTTTACAACGTCTCTAATCGTCTACTACTTTCTCGTGGTCATGTTGTAGTGTCTTTTTGGAGTGATTCTCTTTGTTGCCCGCACAATCTCTGTTCCCATGAGTTCGATCAATCTGTGAACAAAGACTCTTGGCAACTTGGAATGGCGCAGATTCACTGAGTATAGATGCTCCTCTTTTTGTTTGAAAGGTAATCTGGTACGGAATTAAGGATCCTACGTACTACCCATCCCTCGAGTAGACAAGGATATTATAAATATTGTAGCAGGTGCGTCCAATAGACAAAGGCGCATAGAGTGAGATAGATCTAGGTCTATTTTTCTTTTTGACTAGGAGGCGTCCATAATGTGCTCTAAGAAGAAGTTTTTACGAGGACAAGCAGTTTCGGATTCTGCCGCCGCCCGTGCTTGATGTGGAGCACAGAGCAGCAGCTCCTTCATCGGGAATGCACATCTTGCGCCTGGCGGAAAATGCGCAACAAGCACAGGAGCGGCTAAAGGTTTTGCGCAAGTGGTACAAGAAGCTAAAGGAGAAAGTTACTGAGAGTGGGATCTTCGACGTCAAAGAGGAACAGGTTGGACATGAATAGTGACTTGTTGAGATATTGAAAATGAGTGAGTTAAAGAAAATGGGTTCAAAGCAATGATGAATTCTTTTACTATTTGCATCTTCCTCTTCCTTCATCTTTGTGAATCAGGAGCCGCAGAAGGATTTTCCTGCTCTCGCCGCGGGTACTGAAGGATCCGATGTAGAAAGCGTGGAGGCTTCAGATGAATCAATAGTATAACTATACTTGTTTTTGTTAAAGAACAACGAAAAGTCTCGCAGTGTCTATCTTCTGCTTGTTTCGAATTGGATTTTTCTTGGCTGGACCTTCTAGAGAAGAAATCGCTCACAAGGAACGAAAGAATTTGAATTCCTTTTTTCACATTGTTCGTCAATCGCTAACTCATCCATGAGTACTGTCAGGTCTCTGTGATTGACCAAACAGAATGGGAAAGTTAGATCCAGACCCTCCCGGATTATCTTGTTGATGTGTCCTACCTTTCTTCAGGAGAAGCCGACGAGCAGCAGCAGCAGCACTTCAGCACTCGAGGTGGCCGCTTCCGGCACAACGAGTATCCATCCTCACGACGCCACTGCTGCAACCGATATCACTGCGGATTCCTCGTCCAACGCGCATTATGTCTGACTGACTAATTGGGTGTCTAATCAGTGCGTGGCAACGTAGCTTCAAGATTCTGAGTAAGTAGAAAATTACAATGAGTTAGTTCATCTTTGAACATGTTCCTTGCTGTTTTCCACATCATTTCATAATGAATGTCAGCACCAGAGTAAGTGGTGAATCATAACTCCGAGAAACCAAAGGAATGACGAACCTCTATCAATATGGACAATAAGTAGTAGCTCGACTGTGAGTTATTTTCCAATCAGTTTCACCAGTGAATACTCTAACATTCTGATCGCTCTGGCAACGGCGTTTCGGCCACTCAGTCCCGTGATACGGCCTCCGCGGATGTTCTCTCCGACTCGGCGACAGTCAGTGACCCTTCGCATCAGTAAGGAACATCAACATCACGGAAGACCACGTGTGTAGTAGTGACATCAACATCAAGAAAAAATAACACAAAAGAATATGAAAAGAAGTTTAATAGAAGATGTTAGTGTAAGTAGGGGTATTGAGCTAATAAAGAGAAAAAGACCATTATCGACAAAATTAGCTACTTGCAAAGATAGATGTTTGTTGTCACCTGTAAGAGATTGATCATGTCTAGAACTTGATTTATTAGCGTAGGCGTGGGGAGAAGTACTAAAACTACCAGGCAGAGAACTAATAGCTTGTACTAGTCAGAGTCGTGCGAATATGCTAATATCAGCATTCGGCTGATCACG